TTTGCTAAGCCGGTGCTTTGGGTTATTGGAGACAGGACCTCACTAGGTAACCTTGGCTGGCCTGAAACTCAGAGAGATCAACCTGTCTCTCCCTCCCATGTGCTCGGACTGAAGGCCTGAAACACCACACCCAGCAAAGCTGGCATATTTTTGTGTACAAGTTTTGTTCTGTTTCAAGGTGAAACAGAAGTCTTGATCATAGTTAATGAGTTAGTTGAGCTGTTCCATGAGGGAACACAGGTGATACACAAGGTCTAACTCCACTAAAATGAAAGTTCAGCCACGTTAAAACACGCACACCATCATCTTGCCTGTGTCAACCACTGTTAACCATATATAAGGCAGCTGTAGCTGAAGCTCTAGACACATTTGTCAAAATTAAAAGTCTACTTGCAGATGAGGTACAGAAGCACAAGATTCTCCAAAATAGTACAAAACAACATCATTTTCCTCAAATGGAAGACTAGGGAACACAGAGAACCAGGCACAAGTTGGAGAAGAAGGACTTCATTCTTGCCTTTACCAAGTACCCTGTTGTACTGTACATATTCACACTTGGGGAAAGTCTGGTTTGGCGTTTAAGGAAGCAGCTCCAGGTCCCACAGCTAGATAGAGAACATAGGTTTGTATCACAGAGGACTGCACAAATAGGACATCTCAGAGAATTTGACAAAGGCATCTCAAGATTTCCATGGCCTTACCACTCAGGACTAAGCAAACACTGAACATCGCTATTCCCATTTAATCCCCTGGCCCTACTATGTAAAACAATCAGAACTGTTAAAGTTCATCTTATCAAAGTCCTCATGGAGGCTTAATTTGACTAACTCCTGTTTTCAGGTTAAATGGGTAACATACAAATTTCAAATGTGGGCAGAATTATATACCAGCCAGCAAAACATAAGACAAAAGATACATTAGAAGAGGAAGGAGTCTTAGATGAGGGGCCAGATGAAGGGTTCTGGATCCACTTGCTCTGAACTACTTGATAAGCCCACCTCTACTTGGGTTAACTGTTAAAAAAAAAAAAAAAAAAAAAAGGCAAAAATTATAATTTGTGTCTGAACTATGTCCAGCCATGAGATCCTTTAAAGCAGTGGGCTTTGAATGATCTAACCCTATGTAGCTCTTGTCTTCACATTCAGAGCCCTACACTCTATCCCTCTGAAGAGAAATCACAAAAACCAATGCCGGTTTCTAGCCCCAAGAATCAGCCTCCAAAATGAGTCTGCATCTCAAAAAGGAAAGGGTGAAGGTTAGAAAACTCCTGTTTCTCTTTAGGTCTCCTGGACTGTTCTACATGCCAGGAAGCTCAGTTATGTAAAGTTGTAATGATCAACTTTAGTGAAAAACGATACAATGCTGGTGTGTGGGGCCAAAAGACGATCAAGCAGGCAGCAGTCTTAGTGGGGAGGCACGTGACAGCAGCTAAGAAAGCCACCGGGCATCTTTCTAAAATTATATTTCTGTCTGCATGTGTCGATCAAACAGAACTTGCTCTCCCCTCTGGAACATCCTGCCTGACATAGATGATTCAGAGATTTCTTTAAGCTATGTTTATCTATGGTTGGATTACTCTCATCTCATTTTTGAATTCACTTTGCTTCTCTTATTTTCAGAGCACATGAAGACAAAACATCTATTCCTTCTGGCTTCCAATTTGTGTCCAGGAGAACTTCCGTCCTTCCAATGTGCTATTTCTAGAGCCAGGTCTGGTACAGAGAACACAGAGAACACCAGCTGACTGGTCAGGAAGGCTCTTGGTGTATTTCCGAACTCATCACTGCAGCCTCAAGGGACAGTCACCCACCAGCCTCAGCAGTGCAGTATCTCTACTCTGTGGCACCTGCTATGCCTCAGGGATCTTGCTTTGAGTCATCATAACCCAAAAACACTATCCATGTGATAGTGAACATGTCTCAAATCCTACCTCTACCACCACTCATGATCTGGGATCCTTTAGCCAGAGCCTCTGCCTCAGTTTCCTCACTGTCCAATGGGATGGCTCATCTCATTGCTACAGCATTAGTTAAAATCATCTAAACTTAAAACTCACTGGATAAAAGCAGGGCATAGGGGCGTACACCTTTAATCCCAGCTCTCAGGAGACAGAGGAAGGTAGATCTTCTACAAGTTGGAGGCCAGCCTGATACACAGTGAGTTCCAGGATAGATAGAGCTGCATAGTGAGACCCTGTATCAAAAACAAACAAACAAACAAACAAACAAACAAACAACAAAAATCCCAACCAGATGCTTGTGTGCCTGCTGGTGTTAAATGTGGATACCGTTTTGTACCTTCCTAAATGTTCCACCCTCCAACTGTTCCCTTTTCAGTGCTAAAGATGACACCCAGGACCTCTTGCATGCCAGGCACCACTGAGCTACACCTCAGCTTTCTGAAACAATGCATCTTAAATTCTGCAGCCCTCTTGATGATTTTACTGTACAAGCCATTATGTTATGAACCCCAAACTGTTCATACCTGTCTTCCTGTTACCACTGTTCTATGCTAGTGTAATGATAATAGTCTCCCTTTATCTGTGATTTCACTTTCCAAAGTTGCAGCCACAAAGGTCAATGGTCTGAAAATATTAAACTGAAAACTTCAGAAAATAAACAATTCCTGTTTTAAATAACTTTTATTAGAGGGCTATAAATGTTCTGTCTTGTTGTTAGAGACTCTTGTTAATCCCTTGTTCTCATCTCACTTTAAATTCATTTTGCTTTTCTCTTACTTTCAGAGCACATAAAGACAAAAGCATCTGCCTATTCCTTCCTGTTTCTACATTGTGCCCAGGACAACTGTCTCATTTTCTCACAGATATGTATGAACAGGAAAAGCCTACCACACAGAAGGACCAATAGTCAGAGTCTTAGGCATCCACAGGTAGCTTTGGAACTGGTTCCTCCACTGAGAGCTGTGACGCTGCCATTTGACCAATCTGACCTCTAGCCCATTTAGCCACACCGAAAGAGCTAAGAGGCAGAGGGCCCCATCCCGGGCAACTGTGCCCAAACCTGAATTTAGCAGATCAGGGCTCTTCACCACCACTCTTTTTCCATCTCTCCTGCCTTCTGATCTCAAAACAGAAAGGACCAGCTGCCAAGAAACCTACAAGTCACCTCCAGGACCCTCCTCTGTCTTCCTGTCCCATCACTCCCCACATCCAGTCAGGTACCACATGTGACTGGCCCCATGCAAAACTACCCCTCAACTCCATTCTCTCAAGTAATGTGCCTAGCCTTCATGATAAAGCTGTAGATTTCCTCCCCTAAATTGCTGCAGGTGACTCCATTTGATCTCCCTGCCTCTTGCCTCAGCAACTTCCATTCCATTCCCAGGTATTCCCACAAGCCTTTTGGGATGAAGGCTAAATCTTTCTGCTAATACTGGTTTCCAGATCATGAGACTATCCAAAAAGATCCTCATCAGTCTTGCTTGCCATTTTCTGCCTCGTGAGCATCAATATGGCTACCACATGCCTACCAGGCTCTCTCTGTACCTTCCTATCACTGCCCCATTGCTCGAATGCTCTTCCTGAACCTCGGGCAGCCTCACACACTCATGGGCTTTCCAGGTTCAACTACAAAGCCACCCCTTCAGTGCTCCTCCCACAATAACAGTAGATGGCCAGTCACATTCTATGACAGCTCTGTGGACTACTTCCTCCTCTCTGCTCTCTGGTTTCCTTTCCTCAGCATATTCCCAGAACCTGGCAAGAAGCCTGCTGCTCAAGAACCCTCACATTTGCATGGCTTGACACCTCCTGGGCTCACCTCCCTCAGTCATTGCCTCTGTCTATTCTTCTTGACCCAGGAAGTGATTTTATCCTCAGCCCTCTCTTCCTCCCTCATGAACTCAAAGGATTTTAAGTAAGATAAAAAGAAAAAGAAAAAAGGAAAAACCTAACAGTCTGTTACATAATGAGTTCCAGGACATTCTGGGCTATACACAACGAAAACTGTCTCCAGAATTAAAAAAAGGACTTGTTTTCTCCACTCCATTGTTGCCATGACAGTGCCCAAATACGTTCACCTCCTTACAAGGTATCCAATGACTTCAAATGGTAGGCACAACCGGCATTTTTGAAGAAAACTATTTATAAACAACCAGATTTCAACAGAGATCATCAGTATCATTTTCCACAATTTCAAATCTATTATTGTGTGGTGTTTCACTGAACTGAAAACAAATGGAACTGCCAAAATAGTCTTGAGACTAAAAAATAATTGCTGGAAGAAATAAAAGGCTGTTTTACCACTTGCAGCTTTTTGTTTCCATTTTGGCTAATTCCGATTAGTTCAGGGTGATAAAGCATGTCATCCCATTAGAGTATTCTGTTATCATGATCATCTCTCCAGCTCTTCATGGTCACCAGTTCTCTTTTCTGGGAAGTCTTAACTGCAGCTGTCAAGATGGGATCTCTTCTGCATGATACAGTGAGCTGAATTTATTTCACTTAAAATTTCAAATTTATTCACATGTACCAAATAATACCAAGTATTTACAAAAAGCAAAAACAAAAAATACTGATACGAAAACCCATACACAGATACTTGTGGTAGTTTTTTCCAGAATCACCTGAAACTGAAAACAACACTGTTCTTCAGCCACAGAAAGGATGAGCAAACTGTGGTATATCCATACAGTAGAATAGTACTCAGTGATAAAAAGAACCAAGAATTGATACACAAAGCAATAAGGACCAATTTCAGGTACATCTTGTCAAATTGAAGACACCATTTATAGTACATACTGGGGAAATCCAAACAATATGGCCAGGGAAGAACAGAAGTACAGAGAGACCAGCTACCAGGGGCTGAGGTGGGGAAGAGTTTGCCTCAGAGTGGCAGCAAAAGTTTCATCATGATGGAATTATTCTGCATGGATTACATCAACTTACACATGGCCCTAGATAGGTGTCAAAACCTAACAAACTGTACACTGAGCAAATGTCACTGGGTGTAAAGGAAACACTTTAAATCCTTTAACCATACCTTGATTAGTGACCATCCCTGAAACATACTTAACACCAACATCTGGGCTGCTGTGAGGGCTGCTGCTTCAGTTCTGGCAGTTTGAGAAGTGAGGGACAGATCTCTGCGGGCTGAGGAAGAAACAGCCCCAAATGTCCTTCGGATCCTTGTCACCTTGTACCACCATTCCTTTTTAAGGTTCGCTATCAGGGCAACTTCTGCACCAGTTGTACTTAACAAGGCTGAGTTCTACCAAGGACAAGAGCAAGGTTACTCAAAACCCACAGAACACAGAGGCTCTAGAAGGGTTTCAAAGAAAGGGGCAGGGACCAAATTCTAACACTGTGACTCAGCCTAGCCAAAAGTATAAGCAAAAAACAACAACAACAAAAAACCATCTGGTATACCTCCTTCCTAGACTGTCCTTAAAAATGAGCCACATGGCTGGGCTGGGTGTGGTGGCACACACCTTTGGTCACAACACTCAGGTTCCAGGTAAAAGGATGAAGTTTGAGGGCAACCTGGGCTGTATGTCAAAACCCCATCTCTAAGGTGGGTGGGAATGTTTGAGATGGAAGAGGAGAGGGTGGGAGGAAGGGGGGAGGGGGAGGAGGAAAGTGAGCGACTATGAACACAGAATGAAATCCTGAACCAGGTTAGACTGAACTGAAAAAAAAACAACCTTGGATTGAGTGCTCCTTAACATGGAAAATATGAGTCAATTTCAGGCAAGGGATGAAAACAAGCAAGCGTTCACCACCCAGTTACACTCTCTTTCCAGTGTGCTCTCGCCAAACCCGCACATTCCTGCTGCAGACAGGGAAGGCCCCAAGGCCCTCCTCAGAGACAGCCTCAGGAAACAGCAAGCAGGCGCCAAGGAAGGAACATGCCCTTGCTTATTCTCCAGACCGCTCTGGGTCTGTGGGTCCCTCTCCCCCCAGGAGACCTGAGCCTGCTACCTTGTTAAAGCCCAGCGTGAGATCAGCACCTGAGGCCATCTCCAATCCAAGATGAGCTCATGATTGCTGCCTGGGAGAACCAGCTCCCCAACCTCCAACAGCATTTGCAGCTGGAAAGACTGGCCTAAATGCAAAACAAATGCTATTTTCAGGAGAGACTTCTGGGGGGGGAGGGGAAAGAACAAAGCTAAAACCACCAAGAGACTACTACACCAGACCAGAACATTCCATGACATGCAGTACCTAAAAAGGGCTTTTAAAACACATTCTCAAGAAACGGTCATTGCAAGGGGCTAGCTGTGAAAGGTAAATAAATAAAAACCCCTGCCCCTAGAAAGACAGGAATGAAGGACTAAATGACAGAATAGCTTATTGTATTAAGCTAATTAAGGCTTATCACATTAGCCATCTGAGTTTTAGTTGGCACCAAAAATGCAGGGGCCAACACACCATGCAGTATAGACTGGAATATGCTCCGCAAGCATTATTTCTACCACAATCGTCTGCAGAACTCTGGCAGGCGAAAATGAGGTAGAATTGAAAACCAATTTTAGCCCAGTGATTTGCAAAGAACCTTGTTCCGTCGTGGAAGCTATTTGCTGGTATATCCGTCTGAGATCACATTTATCTCTATTAAATACTACATAAAGTATTCCAAGCTAACCATGCACTCTAGTCTCCCCCTTTTTGCCAGTGCTAGCACACGGGAGACTCTCTACAGCAACCCCCCAAAAAATAAACATTACAACAATAAAAACCCCTACATACTTAACTCCCTTCACTGCTGATAGAATGCCCACCACTGCCAGTACACAACTTCAACAATTCTAAGATCCTCTGCATTTCTGAATAGACTAGTCTGCTGAAGCCGGAGAGGAACATGATACGCACTTCAAAGAGAGAAAATGTATTTGCAATCAGGTCTCCCAGGGGCTCCTCTTGACTGTACTTTTACCAACCCAGCAGAAAGGCAAAACCAGCTTTGTTGCTGAGATCATATTGGACCTGACTCTGGTGCGACTGGTTTCCTGTTTGGGGAAGTTGCAGTTCTTTGCACAAGAAACCCCAAGGCAAAAATGTTTAGTGTTCTCCTGGAAGCTCCCACAGCCTTTGTTCGTCACTAATTTGCTGCCCTCCTCTGCTTTCTCCTCTCCTCTCCTCTCCAAGCTCTGGTTTACATTTTTTTGCCAGCCCAATTCTGACTACAGTAAAGCATTAGACATTTTCTCCCACCCCCTTCAGTAAACTTGCAAGCTAACAGTCATTTTTCTTTTTTTTTTTTTTTTTTTTGCACAGATAAAACCGGACAGACCTGGGTTCCTCCTAGTCCTTCGATAGCATTCCACACTGAAATGTATGCCACAGATAATCCAATGGCGAAACTCACTGTCGACAGCCCCCAAAATCAATAAAAGACATTCCACCACTTGACTGAAAAACCTTTCAGGTCAACCCGGAGAGCATGGAAAAGGAGAGGTGAGGGATGAACAAAAGAGGAATCTACCTCCAGGCTCCTCAAATCCTAAAAAGCTGGCTGGGCTACCTCGATTTGGTGAAGCCCTTCCCTTTCTTACAATTGTGGGCAAAATGTGCCATGTGGATTGCCTCTATACAAAACCAATGCATTCTCCACAAGGCCCAGCCGCCTACCACCCTCTGAACATGCCTTTCCAGGCCTGCCGCTTTCAAATGCCCAGGCACATGCGATTTAATGAAGGCATTCAGATCTCGCCTTGATAGTAACACCATCAAAAGTCAGTGGGATCCATTAAACATGGATAACATGAAAGGTATTTGGTCTCCACTCTGAACCCCACTCATCTCCAGGGTACCAATCCACTGTTGGTCTGTGTCAGAATGGATGTGCAAATTAGTATTTAAATTCATGCTAAAAATAGCATATCTCACCTTGTGAACCTTGACCTTTTGAAAAGACTTTGGACCAGTGCTCAGTTACTGTCACACGGTTGCATTCTCTGCAAATATGAAAGGGTTAAAAGCAGCCCCAGTCAACAGGCCTACAAGGAAAAAAAAAAGACAGCATGTATGGCTGACAGCATCACTGGAACGCATTTATGCTCATTTCCTAGAACAATATTGTTACCTTTTGGCCTTCATAATAGTCCCAAGTATCCCCAATACCCTTTAGTAGCATCTAAAAGGAAAAGCACAAAACAGAACATAGCCTGCAAGAGAAGAAAAGGCATGCAAAGTAGCATTCTCCAGCAACAAACTACCATTACAAATCCATCAATTCATTCTGGTTGTTCCCTAAAAACACAGAGAGAGAGAGAGAGAGAGAAAGACTGCACAAACCAAGTGTCCCACCCTAATAAGGCACATACTTTTTTTCTTTAATAAGGGTCATAAATCTCAGTTCCTTGTCCATTCCCTTAAGCAAAAGCAAAAGGCAGGAAAAGCCCAGCTCATCTCAGATCCTGCGAACCTGCACCTTTCTCCCATCATCTCTACACAGGATCTTTTAGGGCTCCATTAGTCACGTACCAGTGCTGTGTGGTGTCTAAGTGTGCATTTACATACTGTGTTGGGATGGTACCTTCCTGCAAGTTCCTCTGCTTTTGGCTGCCATGAAGGGAGGAAGCTGCTATCCCACTGTAGTAGCTCAGTGACTGCATTGTGTTCAGGAGCTGATCTGCCTCAAACCAGTTTCAGCCGGTTCTGGTCACCCTACATAAAAAAGCTATGGCAACCCTCGCTGAGTTGCCAACAAGTCCCTGAAAATCATCTGCACGGGGTGGGAGCTCGCTGGGGGTTGCCTCTCCCTTTTAGGGCTTCCTGAGGAGGGAAAGGTCATTGTGTGTGCCCCCTCCACACAAGCAGAGAACCCTGGAAATGCTCAACACACAAGCCCCCCACAGCCTCTCAGGGCTCATTCCCCTCCCCTCTACCCCAAAGCCCACCGCAGATACTGTTTCCCCCTCCTTCTCTTTCCCCCACTTACCTCCCACAACCTGGCTCAGATCTTTGTGTACATG